CGCATATAGATGACACAATCCATCTGCTACACATACACATATAGATGACACAATCCATCCATTACACATACACATATAGATGACACAGTCTGTCCATTACACATACACACGTAGATGACACAATCCGTCCTCCACACATGCACATATAGATGACACAATCTGTCTGCTACACATACTCAGATGACACAATCCATCTGCGACACATACACACATAGATGACATGCACGATATTGTGGTGGGGATTAGAGCAGTCTCATAATAACACTTTCCCATTCTCTGCTGCCCTGAGCTTTCTTCAGAAGTCAGGACTTACCCTGCAGGTCAGGAATTAAGTAGAAACATGGATCTGCCCTAGCCCTGACCTACCTGAGGATGGTATCTTCTGTGTGCATCAAGGACAAAGAGGTCGAGAAAGGAGAGGCCTAAAAACAAAGGAGGCAGAGACAGTCCTCTGGGGACGAAGAGGGGGAGGGTCTTGCTATGGGGAAACAGACAGGAAAGGCATAGGAGTTGAGGGGGGTAGTTTGGAAAAGGTTGGGGTGTGCTAGGAAGTGGATGAGAGACGAGGCACAGGTGGGGCAGCAGGGAGTCTCCGTCACTCACAGGGTGGCGAGCTGGAGAAGAGGCACTCTTTTCTTCTTTGGGAGGAAACTTGGTTTGATATTATACCTTGATGAGTGTGTAGGCAGAAGGTGAGATCTCAAGAGGTCTGTGTGTGAGAGGACTTGCTTTGCATGGGACACTTGCTGTGGAAGGGGAGAGGAGAGAGGAATAGAGAGGCCAAGCAGGGAGCTGCAGGAGGCTGCGGGTATGAGATGTGCCCTCCATGACCCCTCCACCCTTGAGTGAAGTTGGCGACCTTGTGAAAAGCTTGGTGGTCGTGGGGGCAGGGCTGAGCTTTGAGTTCAGGTTTGGTGTGGGGCAAATCAAGGCCATACCCACAGCACGGGAAACAGGAGGAGTCGGCGCCTGGGAGTTATCCAAATCTAGGAAGGGCTCCAGACCCTCTCAGGTTGTGGGACCAGGCGTTTGAGTCATCTCCTTAAATCTCCAAGTGGTGCCAGTGTCTGGGGGGAAGGAGAGGCCTTGCGGACCCCTGGGCTCTACCAATCAGGATGATAAATCCCACAGGCGCCTAACTCTCAGGGTGTAAAATGTATTCAGTTCCTGAAAGAGCCCTGTGTGGGGAAGACCCAGGTCCCGCCTTTGCAGAATGGCTAGTCTAAATTAGGAAGCCTGGGGACACCACTGGAGAGGAAGGTGCCAGCCTGTGCACCTAGAAACCAGCTCCAGGTAACATACTCTGGTTGGGGCCACTGTCCAGAGCAAGCTAGAAGGGACAGAGTCAGGGCAGAGGTGAGTGAAAGTCAGGAGAGGGAGGCAGCGGGCAGGAAGCCAGATGGCACTAAGCTGTGATGAGCCCAGAAAGGGAGGCCTGCTCCCTCTCTCAGTCCTAGAGGCGTCCTGTGATTCCCTGCTCTACCGCACCGTTCCAGCTCAGGCAGGATCTCGGGCACCCGCATCCCCGGTGGTGATGACGATGGAGAACAGCCATGGGCTTACCCTAGGGGAAACAGCAGGTGTTTTCATCCAATGAAGCAGTGACGCAGTGTCTGTCCCTCAGAGATGGTGATGATGTGGTATTATAAAATATATGTTTGGTCCTTGTCCCCAGTTCCTGGCACAGAGCTCCTAAAACCCTTGGAATTTCCTGAGTGATAGGAGCGTCTTTTGTTATTCGTAATGAGCCCTATGACTATACCTAAGTTTATGCTAGTGAGGTGTCTCAGAGGAGCCCCTAGACAGCTTCGGGCTGGGGGCTGGTCACCAGCAAGACACGTGAATAGAGGGTGGGAACTTTCAGCCCCACCCTCCAACCTCTAGAAAGGGTAGGGGAGCTGGAGATTGGGTTATAAAAACTCTTGAACAGTGAGATTTGGAGAGCTTCCAGGTAGGTGAACACATCCACATGCCAGGAGGGTGGGCACCCCAACTCCACGGGAACATAAGCTCCTGTGCTTGGGATCCTTCTGGACCTCACTCTATATACCTCTTCATAATAAACCAGTAAACGTAAGTAAAGTCTTCCTGAGTTCTGTGAGCTGTTCTAGCAAATTATCGAACCTGAGGAGGGGGTTGTGAGAACCCCCGATTTATAGCCAGTTGGTCAGAAGTACAGGTAGCCCAGGACTGGTGACTGGCATCTGAAGTGGGGGCAGTCTTGTGGGACTGAGCCCTTTAACTTGTGGGGTCTGACCCTGACTCCAGGGAGTGTCAGATTGAATCCAATTGAATTGTTGTACACCGAGTCGGTGCTGGAGAATTGGCTGGTGTCAGAAGAAAACATAACTCAAATGACCACTACCACCATCACTGCCATCTCTGTCTCATTTACTCCTCACTGCCGTCTTGCAAAGGAGACATTATTATCCCCCACTTTACACCTGACCCCAGACATGCGCAAGGTCATAAATGTGAAAGCAGTACAGCTGGGATTCGAACCAAAGTCTGCCTGGCTTGCAGCTCAGCTCTCTCTGTTATCCTGCCCTGCCTCCCTAAAGATCAGGGAGGGTGAGCCAGTTACAGAGGTCAAATGAGGTCTCCGTATTACTCATCATGATTAATTACTCATCATGATTAATTACTCATTAATTAATTTTGTCTCAGCCTTGATAATTAAGGCTGAAGAAGAGCTTTCAAAACTATGAAGGAAGAAGAGGAGGAACCAGAAGACT